GGTTAGTATATGATGCATTCTGACCAGGTGGGAGAGGAAGCACTTTCTGCAGCTTTGTCTCTGAAAATAACATATTTTAAGCTCACAATCTAAAGACAGCAGTGGGCAAAATCTTTCTTCAGACCACTAAAAAGTTACATGCATGAGCTATCTTTCAATGCCATATAATCAGGCTGGGTATCACAGAGCTGGGGTAGTGCAGAAGAAACACAAACGTTCCAAAATCCATTGGCAGAAAAGGCCAACTTTCCTTTCAGGCTGCAGAAACAGCTTGGAAGTGACAACTTTCAAATTTCAATGTATTAAAATTTCAAATTTGATGGTGTGCATGTCACTTCCAGTCTTGTAAGACAAAGGATTGCTATGGGCTGGGAACAGAGGCTCACAGAAAAGTGTCAAACCCCATATCAGAGAAGTTGGGGAAGTTTTCATCTATATACAAGGTACACCAGTTGCAGCCAAATTAAAAGTATTACCTAGCGTCCTGAGCTGGCCCTCTCATGCTAGTAATACCAACGACGAGGAAGCAGAGGGGGAGAAGGAATACAGTGATGTGATGAAATAAATGCTTAGTTTAAAATATTGAGTTGCATCTTTCACACTTCAATTCATTCGTTAAGGAATTTATGGCCTATGCATGCAATAAAATGCAGTGACAGAGGCCCATGGTAACATAATAGATTCCAAGATTCTTTATACCGACTCAGGTCATTGATTCATTTAGATCTGTATCCTTACATGCTCTAAGACTCTCGGATTGAGAAATAAAATACCTAACAGGCAATCCTCTGCATAACTACTCAGAAGGAACCATTTCGATTAATGAGACTTTCTCCTTGATAAGCATACTTAGACAACACTATTCCTGGCGACCTCTGCTGTCAACTTTACTCGGGTTCCGCTGTGTTATCTTCTGATTAGAATATGAGTAAGTACATGCAGTTTGGAAGTTTGGAAAACTCAACAGTGGCCAGAAGACAGGAAAAGATCAGTCTACATCCCAATCCCAAAGAAGGGCAGTGCCAAAGAATGCTCCAACTACCGTACAATTGCACTCATTTCACACACTAGCAAGGTTATGCTCAAAATCCTACAAGGTAGGTGTTACAGACAGCTATGACATCACCTGCCCATCACTGCTGAAGGTGTGTGTCATCTACCAATGGCATGACGGAGGGTGGGACATAAGGGGTGGAGCTGTCGCATATAAGGGGCAGTGAATGGTGTGAGAGTTTCAGATAGGGCCTGATAGGGCTGAGAGATAGGGCCGAGAGATAGGGCCAGATAGGGCTTGGAGATAGGGTTGAGATAGGGATTGGAGATACTGTGCTATATAGTGAGGTTCTGTGAGAGTGTGTGGGTGATTGTTATATTATTATAGTGATTGCTTTATTATTTATATTCAAGTGATTTACCATTCCTTTTGTTTGTATACAATAAACCTAAGTTTTTATTTTGAAATCATAGTTTGGCCTGAAGCTTTATTTGAGGGAATGGTTGGTGGCAGTGGAAACGAAAAGTGATTGAGTGTGACGTAACGGCCCCTTTGTGAGGTATAAGGTGGCTGTTACAGTAGGTTTCAGCAGTATGTGGACTGAGAACTCCCAGAAGTACAAGCTGGATTTTGAAGGGGCAGAGGAACTAGAGACCAAATTGCTAACATGCGCTGGATTATGGAGAAAGCCAGAGAGTTCCAGAAAAACATCTACTTCTGCTTCATTGACTATGCAAAAGCCTTTGACTGTGTGTACCACATCAAACTATGGCAAGTCCTTAAAGAAATGGGAGTGCCTGACCACCTTATCTATCTCCTGAGAAATCTATATGTGGGACAGGAAGCAACAGTTAGAACTGGATATGGAACAACTGATTGGTTCAAAATTGGGAAAGGAGTATGACAAGGATGTATATTGTCCCCTGCTTTTTTAACTTATATGCAGAATACATCATGTGAAAGGCCAGACTGGAGGAATCCCAAATCGGAATTAAGATTGCCGAAAGAAATATCAACCTCCGATATGCAGATGACACCACTCTGATGGCAGAAAGTGAGGAGGAATTAAGGAACCTCATAATGAGGGTGAAAGAGGAGAGTGCAAAAAACGTTCTGAAGCTCAACATCAAAAAAACTAAGATCATGGCCACTGGTCCCATCACCTCCTGGCAAATAGAAGGGGAAGATATGGAAGCAATGACAGATTTTACTTTCTTGGGCTCCATGATCACTGCAGATGGTGACAGCAGCCATGAAATTAAAAGACGGCTGCTTCTTGGAAGGAAAGCGATGACAAACCTTGACAGCATCTTAAAAAGAAGAGACATCATTTAAAATTAAGGCAATGTAAGATGCTAAACAGAGGGGGGGCTTTGGTCTTCCAGATTGGGT